TGTAAGAAAAGACAAACGATAGATAATTTATTTATTTATTTATTTTCTAAAAATACTGATTTAATTATTTTTTAAGAAAAATTATTGTTTGTTTATTTGTTTGTTTTAATTATCCTTAAAATATAATTTACTTTCTTATTTTTAATTTCATAAATTAAGATAAAAAATTAAATTACACTGTCTTACATTTAAATTTCTTAAATTTTTAGTTAGTCATATTTATTTTTAATAGATAGATGGATGGATATAGACAAACTAATTTACAATATTTTCTGAATATTTTAAATTTGAATAAACATTTTTTGAAATTATAGTCTATTTAAACAAACAAACATTTTTAGTTTGATTAAATTAAAATCAATTCTATGATAAGCTATTTTAGATATTTTAATTATTTATTAGCTATAATTTACAAAAAAATTTTTTTTTAAATATCTAAAATTATTGTTCTATGTAATGAACTAAATATTAAATAATTATAACTTAATAAAAGAAGTTTTATTAGTTTAACGAACGATTTATATATATATTTTAGCTAAATTTTATAAACTAGTTAGTATAGTATTACTATTAAGATTGTAGAATTATTTAATTTTTCAAAAATTAGAATAGAAGATTTGTTAATTAGTACTATGAGATCTAACAAAATTAGATTGAAAATAGAAGTATCATAATTAATATTTTAAAAATAAAAGAAAAAATAAATAAGACTCAAATTATAAAAAATTTTACTTTTTTTAATGATGAATTAAAATAAATTTATTACCTTTTTTTATGAAGAAAACATAAGTCAAACATTAATTTAAAATTAATAAGATTTTTGAAATATCTATTTATTTATTTTCAATTAAGGGATTAGAATGATATATATTATTTAAATGTAATTCATTCTTTTTTTAATTATTTATTAAATATTTCTTATTATAAATTTAAATTCTATTTCTCATCATTTGAATATTAGGTATACATGTACTATTATTATTCTTTGTCATTATTTTCTTAAGGTTCAGTATTGACCTAATGCTAATTAATTTCAATATCTGTGTACAGCTATTCTCTATCTTTTAAATTTAATAGCTCAGGTTGGTGATTAATTTAAGAGCTTCTTTTACTTTCGATTGCATGTCTTTATGATTCAGCCATTTTTATTGCAGTTTTTAACTTTTTTAAACTGTTTTATATAAATACTTAGTTTTTATTCTAACCCATAGGTCTGGTTAACTAAATTCTATCTTCTTTAAGCATTCTATTAGATATAATAAATTCATCTAATTTAGATTTGTAGTCTCTTATCAAGAAAGGTTTTAAATATTTCTCGTTAATTCTACTAAAATTGAAGTATATTTTAGATATAAATAACTTTTCATCATATTAATTGCTTAACACAATTTCTATCTTTTACTTCTTTAATATGAAGTAATCTGTATCTGAAATATTATCTTCTGTTTGTAGATTATTATAAATATTTTCTGCTAATTTGTTTACTTTTTCTGTTTAAATCTTGCGCATCTAAATATCTTCACATTTTATCGGTAGAGGTTTTTCAGTCTAAGCTCTACTTAATTTATAAACTTCTATTTTTTATTAATTTTCATTTTGATTTTGAGTTTCTTTCTTTGAATTAGATTCTAACGCATATTTATGTTCATGATCAACGTGACTCTCGTTTTCATGATGCTTCGGAGGAGGTAACACACAATCAATAAGCTTTGGATTAATTAAACCAAATAGCAACGTTGTTATAATGAGTACTCCTATCATAGTACTATTTAGTAGATCTTTGTATTCTTCTGATTCTACTTAGTCCATCAATATAAAGCCAAGGATACCTCTGCTCATACCTGTGAAGCATATTACTACTTATTCTCTTAGTTTAACTAAAAATGGTGTTTTTCGGTAAAACAATCTGAAAATAGCACTCATCACAAATACTTAAAATAATCTGCTTACTAATAAAATAAGTAATATCCAACCAATTAGTGAAAAGCTCCAAGCATTTTTATAGAAAGAAAAAGTTGTGAAACCAACAAAAGCAAATAAAAAGTTTTCAGCACCACAAGAAATAGTTTGAAAAGTAACATTTGCACAGATTTTAGCTTTGTCAGACATATTATGGAACCCATAGTAACCAATAATAAATCCACTGATAAGCAGAGAAATAATACCTGATAAATTGAAGTATTCAATTATACAATAACCAGAATAGCTGCACATAAAAATTATCAAAATCTCATGAATGACTGTTTAATTTAAAAATGGCATATGCTTCAGAATGAGTGTGCATAATATACCAAAAAATGTCCCAGATAGTATACTGTTTGTATTATTAATATTAGATTAATTTTAAATAAATAAATGATTTTTTAGAAGTAGAATTAAATTTGATAGTTCGAACTATTTTTATATTTGCTTTATTAAAATTAGATATATTTATTTTTAGGATCATTAATTGATTTATTGTCATCCAAATTTTATTCCATTAATTTTAAAGTAAATACAATATAAAATAATAAGAAATAGATAGATCGATAGATAGATAAGTAGCAATAAATAAAAAACAAATTTCATAATAAGTAGTAAATAATGTTTACCTTAAACTAAGACTGATCAAGAATACAACTATAACATTAGGAACAGTACTCCAAGTAAAATTTGATTCATGTTCTATTAGAGATTCAAAACTTTCAAAGAGAATTAAAGAAGTCGCATCGTTCATTATACCTTCACCAAAGACAATATGAAACAAAGTAGGGTATGCATGATGGTTGATCATTGTTGAAGCTAAAAAAGAATCTTTAGAGCTTAAAGCTGCACTAAATAAAATGATTTCTTTTGAATTTAGCTTAGGATCAGTACCTACATTAGGATCATCGATTAAATTTTTATTCCCTCTTTTAAATAAAATTATTTTTAAAATATATAGACTAAAAAGTTTAAATACCTTTCAATTACTATCAAATCATTGTTACAGAGAAAGTTCATGGAAACAACCAGGAAACTAAATGTAATAATGGTTCCTAAGAATCCATAAATCAAAATGTAAGTCATGTTGTTGAAAAATATTTTCTTTTTTAAAGAATATCCCTCAGCAAATACTATTGCTGGAAGGAAAATGTAAACAAAAATTCTTTTTTCTAACTTGACTTGGTAGTCTAAAGCATAGTAAGCAAAAATAGACACAACCATCCCAAGGACTATAGCAATTCCTGTTTCATGGAAGTACCTAACATTCTTCTGAGAAAAGTAGCTACCTAAAATTGATTGTATGATAATAATCAATACTACAAGAAATGCTCCAATACCAAAACTATCGTTCATTTATTTTGTTATATGTTGTTTTGTTTTCTACCTACTATTTATATTTCTTAAATAAATAATAAACTTTTTTATGATTTATTATTTTTTAGATTAGTTTGTAATCAATCTATATTGATTTAGCGAAACATAATTTAATCAATCAGATTTATTTTATAATCATAAAAATAATGTTGGTTGATTTTATACTGGATCTATAATTTTTTACATAAATTTCACAATAGAAAAAAATCTATATGCTATTTAAATTTTATTAGATTTTAACTAGAATCCAAAACACTCCTTCTTATAATTTTTCCATCCTCTCTTAATATACTAAAATTTTCTTAGTATTCATACAATTTTTTAATGCTTAGTAAAAACTAAAAATATAAGCAATTAATCGCTATATCTAAATATCAATGGTAGGAATCATTATAATTTATTTCTTTAAAAATCATTTACATATAATAATATTTAATCACATAAATTCAGCACTTGATTTGTTGAAAATTCATAAATTAAAAGTATTTTTGATCTTTAAAAAATAAATAATATTTTAATAAAGTTTTTTTAGCCTTATTAATATTTATTATAGTTAAAAGATATAAAATTATTTTTTTTATGTTAAACTTTTTGTAGCATGCTTAAATTTTAGATCAAATATTAATTAAAGTTAAATTTAGTGGTAGATTAATTATTTAGAATATGAGTGAATGAAAATATATTTAAAAAAAAAACCATTATCTCATATTTTTTAATTATTTGTAATAATCAATAACCACTTTCAAAAAAAAAATTTATTAATTTATTTACAATTAATTAATATTATTTTAAAAATATTTATTTTCACTTTGAGAGGGTATTTAATAAAATACTATTAAAATGTATTAAATAAAAATAATTGATTGAATAATATAAAATTCTATCTATTTCTTTCACTAAAAAACCTTACAAAATTTGAGGTAGTATGGTATATTATCATAGAAATATTATTAATTGCTTTTATACTGTATACTTAAATTATAAAATAGAAAATATTTTATCTGCAAATTAATTTTATTATGTTATAGTCAGAATCCAAAGCATTAATTACTCCATATACTGATTGCATCCTTTCTTAATTGATTAAAGTCTTATAATTTTAATTTTCGCTAAAAACTAAAATTAATTACTACTTTAAATCTCAATTCCAAAAATTATTAAAATAATTAATTTGATAATATTTTTTTATAAAATATCATAAATAATTTGTTAGTAAAAAAAATTAAAAGAAAATTCATACACATAAAAAAATAATCTTATTTTGCTGCTTTGAAAAGTAATATTTTTGATATTAAGGGAAATGGTGGTAGAATAATTATTCAGAATAAAACGCCTATTTAAAAAAAGATTATTATCAAATATTTTTTGAAAAATTTTTTGAATTAATTAAATAATCACTTTTATAAAAGACTTATTATTGATTAGCTATCTTTTAACACTATTAAAAGTATTTATTTATTTCGTTTTGAAAATTAATTTATCAAAAGTTTATTTAACTAAAAATAATAATTATTTTTTTTAAGTAAAACAATAAAATATACACTTAAGCCAAAAAAAAAAAAACAATAAAAAAATGATTTTAGTAATGTTAGTAAAAATAAATTTTGATAATTGAGAGAAATATTTTTATTTATTTTTTATTTTTATAATAAAATAAATCTTCAATCCTTTGATTATTTGTTTTATATTTCTTATTATAAATTGATACTTTCAGATTTTCTCTTTAAATTTTAATTTTGAAAATTAATTTATTCAATATCGACATTATTTTTTTATTCAGTTTGATGAGGCTTTAATTTCATTGTTTCTTAAGTTGGTTGGGGCTATTCTTAGTTATTTAAATTCATTTTTTAAGGTTCTTAATCTTACAATATTTAAGATTTTTTTATGTTTTCGACTTATACTAATTTCTATGATTGTGCAAGTTATAAAACAGTCTTTATCTTTTATAAACTTTTTGTAATGAATTAGGAATTTTTATTTTAGCCTAGTGGCCTTGTTAGCTAAATTCTATCTTCTCTTAACATTCTATTAGCTATGATGAACTCATCTAATTTAGATTAATAATCTCTGACTAAGAAAGGCTTCAAATACTTTTCATTAAATCTGCTAAATTTAAACTAAATTTTTGATCCAAATAGCTTTTCATCATAAACATCAACTAATAACGCCTCTATCTTTTGTTTCTTTACTACAAAGTAATCTTTATCTGATAAATTTTCTTCTGTTTGTTAATTATTTTCACTAGATTCAGTGTTTTTGTTTATTTATTAAGTCTAAATTTTCCTAATTTACACATTTTCGAATTTTTAAGGAGATATTATCTCAGTTTAGGCCTTATTTTATGTACGAACTTGAGTTACATTTTAATTTTCTATATCTTTGTGATTTTATTTAGGATTTTTATTTTCATTCTCGTGCTTATTACTAGCTTAACTTTCATTTTCATGATCATTGTGTTTTGGAGGAGGTAACACACAATCGATGAGCTTTGGATTAATTAAACCAAAAAGCAAAGTTGTGGTAATGAGCACTCCTATCATTGTGCTATTAAGTAAATCTTAAAACCCTTCAGATTCAATTTCTTCCATCAAGATAAAGCCAAGGATACCTCTACTGATACCTGTAAAGCAAATTACTACTTGTTCTCTAAATTTCATTAAAAATGGTTTTTTTCTGTAAAACAAACTGAAAATCGCGCTCATCACAAAGACTTAAAAAATTCTGCTTACTATTAAAATAAGTACAATCCAACCAATTAATGAAAAGCTCCATGCGTTTCTATAGAATGAAAAAGTTGTGAAACCAACAAAAGCGAACAAAAAATTTTCAGCACCACAAGAAATAGTTTGAAAGGTAACATTTGCACATATTTTTGCCTTATCTGAGAGATTATGGAATCCATAATAGCCAATGATAAACCCACTAACAAGTAAAGAAATAATACCTGATAAATTGAAGTATTCAATTATGCAATAACCAGAATAGCTGCACATAAAAATTATCAAGATTTCATGTATAACTGTTTAATTTAGAAATCTTAAATATTTCAAAAGAAGCGTGCCAAGTATCCCAAAAAACATCCCAGAAACTACACTTTTATTTTACAAATAAAATAATTAATTAGACTATTTATATTGAGTTCTTTTTTAAATTTAGAAGCTAAAATTATTTATACAATTTTTATTTTTTAATTTAATGTGATGGATGATCAATATTAGAATGAAAAATAAATAGTTGTTTGATTATTTAAACTAAAAATATAATTTTTTTTTAATTTGGCACAATTAAAAAGTATATTGCTTACTTAATTACTTACTTAATTATTTACTTTATTAATAAATTATTTGAAGAAGCTTGTTTATAAATCTAAGAAAATTCAAGAAATTAAATTTTTACCTTAAACTAAGGCTGATTATAAATACTTTGAAAACGCTTGGAATAGTTTTCCAATTAAAATTGGACTCATCTTCAATTAGAGTTTCAAAACTATCAAATAGAATCAAAGAAGTAGCATCGTTCATTATACCTTCACCAAAAATAACATGAAACAAAGTTGGGAACGCATGATGACTGACCATTGTTGATGCTAAGAAAGAATCTTTGGAACTCAGTGCTGCACTAAACAAGATGATTTCTTTTGTATTTAGATATAGATCAGTCCCTGCAAGAGGACCATTAAGTATATCTCTATTTCTTCTATTAATTAATTATAAATAAGAATTAGTTTATTTACTTTTTGATATGGATTAAATTTAAATCTAAAATATATATATAAATACCTTTCAATTGTAATTAAGTCGTTGTTAGAGAGATAATTTATGGAAACAACTAGGAAAATAAAAGTAATAATGGTCCCTAAGAATCCATAAATTAAGATATATGTCATATTATGGAAAAATATTTTCTTTTTCAAAGAATAACCCTCAGCAAATACAATTGCAGGAAGAAAAACATAAATAAACATTTTTTTTTCTAGCTTGACCTAATAATCTAATGCATAATAAGCAAAGGCCGATACTATCATTCCAAGCACTATTGCTATTCCAATTTCATGGAAATATCTAAAATTTTTCTAAGAAAAATAACTACCTATAATTGACTATATAATTATAATCAAAACAACCAAAAAGGCTCCGATACCGAAATGATCATTCATTTTATAAACTTCTTTTTTATTTTTTAGCTTTTGTTAATTAATTTAGTAATTTAAAAAGTTTATATTTATCTGTTCATTTAGATATTGTTTTAAAGTAATCAAATTAAGAATTTTCTGATTAAAGAGATGCTTGCTTTCTTCTTTTTATTAAATTGTAAGTAGGTAGATCTGAATAAATTATATTTTTATTTATGAAAACCAAGGAGTTATACTAGCCACAAATGGCTTTTTAAATTTATAATATTGAAAAACTGAGCTTATTGTAATAAATATGTCAAGTTTGATTTAATAGGTAGGTGAATAATAATTTAACTTTTAATTTTTATTTAAAAAGTCTTAAATCAAACAAATTGCGAAGTAAGTAATTCAATCATTTTAATTTTTGTTTATTGAATAAAAACTTATCTCTTTGTTTTGTCTTCATAAATTTATTATTTTAATAGATTCACTTTGAAGTAGAAGAATCATACAAATTGATAAAAATTAACCACAAAATTATTCTTAAAAATTTTTAATTTATATCTGAATGCGATATGTGGTTGATTATTTATCAGTATATCTAATTAAATTTATCTTAAAATATGATTTATTAAATTAACTTCGAGAGTTATGAAATTCAATTAATCATTCATTAATTTAATTGTAGACTTACAACTTTATTAAAGCTAGAAAAGTAGCTATTTATTATACACTATCAAAATTTTTCTAACGCATAAATAAAAAATAATTAAATGAAATAGATACATACATAATTAATCTTTAAATAAGTTAAAGCAAATAAATTTTTTACTTCTTAGACTTAAGTACTGTATACTCTCCATATTAAGATCGCCCCCCTATAATAAGATCACCCTTATAAATATTTTTAATTTTAAGACTCTTACCTCTTACCTCGCAACATGTTCGTTTCCCTTAACGGGGTTTTACGGTATATAATTAAACATTTTAAAATACATACAAATATATTATAAAATTCCAATTTAATATTTGAAATTATAAATTAAAAACTAAAAAATCATAAAATAAGGCTTTTTTGACAAATAATAAAATTATTTTTTTAATTTAATCTACTTTAAAATAAATCAATTAGCTAGTTAAATTCTTTGCTTTTCTTGTTTCTACAACATTTGAAAACTGGAAATGCTATATTTTAAATAGAATATAAATTTTAGGCTTATCTCTTCTTAAAATCTATAGACATATTTTTAATATTCATTTTAAAGAAATATGTTAATATTTGTAAAATAAGCCAGGTTGATAAGCCAAATATCAAAGATATTAATTTTTAATTATAAAAATATCAAAAAAAATCAGTAGGCTTTGTTTAATTTTTTAATTTCTCTTTTAAAAATTGATAAACTTAAGTAGATATCATTTTCTGATGACTTAATGAAACTTTACTAGATGATATTGTAAATTTATTAATTGATTCTTCTTTTTGATTCACATATTTTAATATTAATCTTAAAGTATTTTTTTAAATGTAAATATATATGTAGTCTTTTGTATTAAAAACAGATAGAATATCAATTTATAAAAATCTTTACTAAAATTTTAATTTTTTGCAGAATTTTTAAATTTATATTTATATAAATACATATTTTTATTAATTTAAATAGATTATTTTGATAGATTTCATGAATTTAATTTTAAGAATAGAAATTCATAGTTTTACATTGTTTTTAACAAAAGTCAAAACAAAGTTATTTTCTAGCAAATGATAAACATTTATAACCTATAAATGATGCTTAGTTTTTGTGATTTGTTAAGCTAATACACTACTAAATGCATACCAACAAAAGCCAAATATAAAGGCTATTAGTATGAGCTAGTAAATAATAAGAATTAGCTGTACTTCTTTTAGATACTGATAGTATTCACTACAGTTTTTTAATAGAAAGAAATTCATTATTTTAACAATTTCATCAAGATAATCTATTAAATTAGAATAATCCTCTATATTGAATGTTTTAAATATTTCTTAAGTAGCAGTAGCTAACATTTTTTCATCTTTAATTTATATTATTGCATAAAGCTCTTAAAGTTTTTAGCTAAACTACTTTATGGATAACTTTAAACCTTTTTAGAGAAAACCATTGTAAATAGTTTTACATAATTCTGGTTTGAATACAGTAGAATTCTGAGTATATTAAGGATTATTTGATATCAAAGCACACATGTCATCTTCAAACAAAGGAAAAAAGAAATTGTCAAATTATTACTTTTTATATCTAATTTTTTATTATTTATTTTATTTAATATTTAAATTTATTAAATATTATTTATTTTACCTTCCATTAAGATTAAATTAATTAGAAACAATTGTTAGATTTGTCAGAAGGCTATCTGTTTAGCTCATAACAAATTAAATTTAAGGAATGTAATAACTTAATTATGCTATCTTTGATTTTGGGAAAACCTTCATATCAAATCCAAAGGAAATGATCCCAGAACTATATGAAATATAAGATCTAGCTACATTTAAATATTCTTTTTTTTAAAAATTAAATCAATTATTTCATCTTAAAATATTAAAAACACTTTTCAAATTTATATATATAACATGTCTTTATTTGCTTTAAAGAGAGTAATAATAAATTTGAGAAAAGTTAAAAACTTATTTTTGATTTTTAAAAATTTACCAAGCATCATCAGATTATTGTCCAAATTATCAAGATATTTTTAGACGAAGATTCGGTTGAAAATAGGATAGAAAGATAATAAAATATAAGAGATAAAAATAGCTATCAAAAGAGAGTAGCTAAAATGTGGTAATTTTGTTATTTAACTTAAGGTTTATCTTTTATGATTTTAAGATTCTTACTATGATTTATAATTTAACATTTGAATTTCTATTGGTATATTTTTTATATGAGGATTCATTACTTTATTTTAGTAATATGATTACCTTATTTTAATAATAATGTTTTATAGTTGACTGACCGGAAAAGTGCAGAAGAGTTGAATTATTTTATCTTTTCTCTTTTAAATGTAAGAATATAGAGGAAGACTACTTAACAAACATATAGCAGATATAGCCAAAATCACTCCGATTTAAAGAGATAAAGAATCTTAAATCTATTTAACTTAGTAACTTTGATAATTTTTAAAGTAGTTTTATGTGTCTTAGATACCTAACATGATATTTTAAAGGTTTTGAAGAATGCAAATCTGTTAAAGCTTTCCAGTAGGATTAATTGATTATTAATAAATGTTATAATTGACGAAAATTATGGAGTATAGCAAGGATGAGTTTTTTTCTTCGAAACTATAAGTTGTTCTTTTTGAAGAAGTATTTGAAAGGTTACTTGAATTGTAAATCTAGTTTATATAAAAGGAAGAATTAAAATTGCTGATTCTATTGTAAAGCATTTTGCCACTTAGACTAAAATCCATAGTTTATATTAAGTACATAAATTATTTTTAACTTTATTGCAATTAGTTGATTAATTAAGCATCAAAGCTATTTTGATCTTCCTTAGAAACAAAATTAAAATTATTCTATCTTTCTGAATGGATAATATTATAATTTCTTAGAGACCTATTAATTACATTTTACACTTCGTAAGGCCAATTTTGAGAATTCTGATTTTAATTCATAGAATCAACAGAATCTATGAAATTAAAATATTGTTAAATTGTAATAATACTCAGTGCTAAGTACGTCAAAAAACCGAATAAGATAACAACCTTAATAGCAGATAAGCTGGTTTATTATTTAATTGTTTTAATTATTATTTTTTTAGTAGAGGAAGTAGATTCCCTTGAAACAGAAGATGAATTGTTTTCTAATTGGTCTTCCCTTAATTTTTTTCTTTTTTTTTCTTTCTTCAATGAATACTTTTGAGTTGCTAATTTAGTTTCATTTATGTTTTGTAAATTCTAAGATAAGATATCTTAATCTTGATAAAACCTCTGCTACAAAGTGATTGAATGAGGATTTTCTATCACCTTTAAAGAGGTAATCTCTTAAGTACTTTTTAGCTGCTACAATTATTTTTCACTTATATCATTATTATTTAAGGTACTTGGTTTTACATTTTAAAATTATTGATTTACATCAAAAATTTATTTTAAGGAGTTTATATTCGATTAACTATTGAAATAAACTTCACTTAAAAGTTCTCTATTTGTCTCTTTTCTATTAGAAGTTAAAGGAATAGCATATTTTATTTCTTCATTTTCATATTAGATATCTCTTATTTACTATTATGAAATATCATCTTACTAATTTCTAAAATTTTAACTAAAAGCATCTCTTGGCGAATGATAATAGGTATTATCTTAGTCAGGAATATCTACTTGTATCTAAGCATTATTTTATTTATTTTAAGGATATATTTGGCATTACTATTCACTTAGAGTTGCTTGTTGTTAAGAGTTTTCTTCTTAAATTTTATCAAAAGATTGATTATTCATTTTATTAATCCTAAATTTTTAGGATTTTCTTGGAGATAATGTATTGTTTTAATTCAAATCATCCAAATCTTAGCTTTTATTTTCTGAAAATCTATTTTCTACCAAAAATTTTTAAGTAGTTTGAATTTAATTAAATTAGCTTTGAAAATTATTTTGCTTGTTCGAGTGAAAATTAAAATTGCTTATATCTAAAGAACCAACTTATAAGTGTTTAGATTCTAATTCTGCCTACAAAGTTTCCAAAGTCTGTTTTGTAAAAACTAAAGAATAAAACTCTTAATACTCCTTAAGATACTTTAGAATAATAGATAAATTCAATTCTGGTTGAATAGGTTTAATTTTAGATATTTTCATATAGTGCAAGTTATCAATATCCTTATATTCGCAATCATTAATACTTATTTCCACTAAAAAAAAGGATGTATTTTAAAGTTTAACTTAATTTTTAACTCGATTAGAAGATTGAAAATTTTAAATGATAAGCATATATTCTTCATTTTGTAGTTTGAACTTTTCAAAATTATGCTCATCTATGATTTTAGTATATTTTTAATTAATACTGTTTTGAATTAATAATTCTTTCAAAGAATTAACATTTTAAGTATCAGAATCTTAGATATCTAAAACTTCCTTTTATTATACTAAGAGTTTAGCTTTGTTATCTTGCATTAATTTGTATAAAAATGGAAAGAATTAACCTAAATCTGATTATTTCTATATTTCTATATTATTTTTTAAGAAGACGTTCTTCAAAATATTTTAAGTTGCACCAATCACGTTTAAAAAATCAGATTGGAACAAAATATAATCATTTTCGTCATAAATGCGCTAGATATAAGCCGTAAGTCCTAACTGACTCAGCCCGTTACTGTAATTGAGACGGACATCAACCTTAATGGGAAATATAAAACCTTTCTGTTAGTAGCCAAATAGATTTTTTTCTTTCAAATAGCATATTTTGTTATTTTAATTTTAAAAATAGCTTACAATATATTATCTATGCTTATTAATCAACTGTGCATTTGGAGGCATTAAAATCTCTATCCTTTTATCTTAGGCATCTTATTAAGTGATTCCAAACAATTATAAAAAGGAAGAAGATACTTTCTTGATAGATAAATTATAATTTTCTTCTACTTATGCATAAATAACACATGAATGTTTGCTAAAAAGATTAAAATCCTAGTAGGAATCATCCATCTGATTATTTTAGAAATGTTGAGCATAGACTTGTCTTATTTTAAGTTTTTATCTTATTAACTAAGTATCAATTTAAGAAAGGTGAATATCATTTAAATATGATAGATCAAGATCAATAATTAAATCTTTTTCTTGAAAGGAAAGAGTTTCTAAGTAGCAGATCTACAAAGAAACTAAATCTTTATTTGAGCTATTAATAATTGATAACTCATTTATGCTATTTCTAACTTTTAACTAAATTTTTCTTAATTCAGTAGCTTTTTTTACTAAATTTAAAACTTCAATCTATTTATTTTTTAAAAGAGAAATAAATTCTACTTTTTAGTGGACTGCTTAGTCCATCATTTAGAAGGTTTTTTGTATTTTTTCTTCGTAATTAAGCACGTTGTAAAATTACTAATCAAAAGTATTTTCTATTTTTAATGTTTATTATATGATTTATCTGTTTTTTAAGAAGTTAATATGAGCTGTCATTATTATTTATTCCTATTTCAGATCTAAATTTTCCTTTCTTATTTGTTAAAACTCAAGAAAATAGGCATTGTAGCATTTCATAACCTCAAGTAGATACACCAAAAAGATTATTCTATTATTTTATTCACTCTTTTTATTTGAAATTAATTTTATTTATTCTTTGAAAAACTACAAAACACTTTAATTTTCATTTTATCCACTTTCTATTTCTTTTATCAGTATTTATAAGGATAGTGAACAATTAGTTGAGGTTTATAACTAATTTGTTTGTTCGATTTGAAATTGCTATTTTTTTTTTATAATAAAGCTATAAATACTTATTTTTTCTGGATCATCAACTTTCTAATTTTGTAGATGTTTTATTATTTATAGCCTAATAATTTTATCTATACTACTCATATTAATATTGTTATTTTCTTCGAAAATACTTTTTAGGAGATTATTGTGAGTTTTTTCTTATATATTACAGAAATATTGAGTCATCTTATAAAAAATAGGCACATATATAACTAACATCAAAGAAGGCACACTAGAAGAATGGGAGACTTGAAAAGAAATGTAAAATGTTAAGCAAAGTGCACCACAATATAAATAAGTGAAAGTATTCCAGAATCTACTTTCTAGCTTGTAAAAAGTGCAAATATGGAAAGAAAACCATCCATTTATTAGAAAATAAATTCCCAAAAGCAAAGTATCTAATTTAAAACTTGTAGCTATAATTAAAAGCATAATCAAAAAATCAAGATAATAAACAATAACATTATATGGATTATAAGGCTTATTCATGCAATCATCTGGGTTAATAGAATAATCAAAGTCAGAATCTATTATCATTGTACCTAAATTTAAAATTATATAAAATTAGCAAAGTAACTAAGTAATAAATAGTGTAAAGAATTTGCATACATAAATTATCTTAAAAATTAGTTAAAAAAGAGGTAAAAAAATAAATTCATATTATTAAATTTAAAATAAATAAACATAATAACTTTTTAGCTATATTTGGAGATATCTTTAGGATAAATTTAGAAATTTTTAAAAAAAATTGGTATTATTATATAATACTAAATAAGCAAATATCATATTCTACTTTTTAAGCACAGTAGTCATAATAAAAAATAAAAATAAATAAAATTGTATTTAATTTAGTTGTTGAAATTAATGATTCAATAATTACCAGAAATTAATGTTATTAAAAGATTGATCGGTGCTAGTGGATGCTTTATCTGAACCAAGCTATAATATAGGATTGCTGTTGAAAATAAAAACTAATATATTGAAATGTAAATGCTCATTATTTCATAGATTTTTAGCTCCATTTTCTTATTTAGATTTGTAATGAATTCATCTTCATCTATATCAATGCTGCTATTTTGTGGAAAGGATCTTTTTACAGCAGGCTTGATCAATAATTTATAACCAAACGCAATGAAGCCAAAATAACAGCTAACCAAATAAATAATTAGAATTAAATTCAACGCTAAGCTTAATTACTAAATAAAATCTGCATAGGTATATGTTTACCACTAATTTAAGTAATCTTTGTTGTCTAAAATTAAAAAATTTTTATCAACTTTTGATATATTAACATAATCTGAATTGTAGATCCCAAGCAAAAGAAAGAGGATTCCTTTACCTAAAAGCAAAAATAAACTAAAAAACTAACCTCTTTCATATCCTCTAATAATCTGATGATAATTTAGAGTATAGAATTTTCTTGAAAAATAGCCAATTATAGGTAAAATTCCCCTTTTTAATTTCATTTCTACCTATGGATCAATATATCAATCAAGATTATTAGTGCTTTAATTAAATACTTTGTTGTTTTTTTGATTACTGTATTTTAAATTAGTATCATTCATTTAATTACTAATAAAATTAAGATTATACAAATAAGTGTATTTTATGCATAAATTATTCAAGGATCTATTTATTTGGTTATATCTAAATAGGTAAATCACATACTAATCAATATTTAATCATTCCTTGATTTATTTATAAAATAAATTACAAAAAAACTTGAAAAGAACGAATTAATTAATAATCATTTTGAGGACTGATAAATTTTCAAGACCAAAAAAACTTTTTTTAAAGCAATTTAATGAATCTTAATTTCTAAACAATAACAATATATCTAAAATCGTCATCCAAAATTTTAATATTTATGCTTTAAAAATAGCATGAAAATATTTCAAGTTTAATCAAAGCAAATATATAAAACAATTAAAAACCTTATTTATAAAAAAGTTTCAAAAACATTAAGAAAGATATATCTAAACTTGTGTGGGCTTTTCTTTTCATATGATAATTTAGATTGATTGTATCATATTTTAATTAATTTTATGGAAAGCGAGTTATTATTATTTAAACACTTTTACACATATAAATAAGTAAGTAAATTAATAAATAAATAATGACTTACAAGAAAATTTATCAATCCATGCAATTAAAAAGTTAAAAGAATAAATCTGGACAAACATTTTTTTTTAAATTCAATTATTAATTACTCAAATTTATTTTCAAATTATATTGGTTCTAAGGCGAATCCACAAATTTAAATTTATAATATTTTGATTGATTCTAATACTTTTGTAATTTAAAAATTTTAAAACATTATAAAGCTAAAAGATAGATATTCAATTACTTATTTATTTAGTTTTAAAAAATGTTTTAGAGAAAAAATTTATTTTTAATTATCCTTAAATAATAAATAGCTTAACACTTTCAATTTGTTAAATTAATATAAAAAATTTAAATAAATTATCTAACATTTTAAAAGACAAAATTTTTAAAAAATAAGATTTAATTTTGTCTGCTTAATTAGAATAGATATGGTATTTATTTATTTATTTAAAAATATTTCTTTCTTTTTGAATTATTTATTATATATTTCTTATTATAAATTTAAATTCTATTTCATCATTTTAATATTAAGTATGCAGGCACTGTTATCCTACATCACTATTTTATTTATGTTCAGTATTGATCACTGCTAAATAACTTTAATATCTATGCACAGCTATTCTTTATCTTTTAAATTTAATAGTTCAGGTTTTTGTTCTTACTTAATTTAAGAGTTTCTTTTGCTTTCGGTTACATGTCTTTATGATTAAGCCATTTTTATTACTGTTTTAGCTTTTTTAAACTATTTTATATAAATAATTAGTTTTTATTCTAACCCATAGGTTAGTCTATCTATCTATCTAACTAACTAACTAACTAACTAACTAACTAACTAACTAACTAACTAACTAACTAACTAACTAACTAACTAACTAACTAACTAACTAACTAACTAACTAAATTCTATCTTCTTTAAGTATTCTATTAAATATAATCAATTCAAAAAATTTAGATTTATAATCTCCAATCAATAAAGGTTTTATATTTATCGTTAATTCTGCTAAAATTGACGTATATTTTAGATTTAACTAACTTTTCATCATATTAATTGTTTGTTTAACAAAATTTCTATCTTTTATTTTTTTAATACGAATTAATCTGTATCTGATAAATTTTCTTTTATTTATAGATTGTTATCGCTATCTTTTGTTTCTATGTTTACTTTTTCAGTCTAGATCTTGTGCATCTAAATATCTTCACATTTTATTAGTATAGATAGGTTTTTCAGCCTAAGCTCTACTTAATTTATAAACTTCTATTTTTTATTAATTTTCATTTTTATTTTTAGTCTCTTACTTTGAATTAGATTCTAGCGTGTGTTTATATTATATTCATGATCATTATGACTCTAATTTTCATGATACTTCGGAGGAGGTAACACACAATCAATAAGCTTTGGATTAATTAAACCAAATAGCAACGTTGTTATAATGAGTACCACCCCTATCATAGTAAGTACTTTTTAGTAGTTTTTTGTATTCTTTTGATTCTATTTAATCCATCAATATAAAAACCAAAGATACCTCTGCTCATACCTGTGAAGCATATTACGACTTATTCTCTTAATTTAACTAAAAATGGTGTTTTTAGATAAAAAAAATAATCTAAAAATACTATGGCACTCATCACAAAGACTTAAAATATTCTGCATGCTAGTAAAATAAATAAGTAATATCCAACCAATTTATACTAAAATATATCTCAAACATTATACTGTTTGTAGTAAATAACATTAAATTAATACTTAGTAAATACTTTTATAGAAGATAAATTACATTCAATAGTTTGATTGTTTAAACTTATAATATTATTAAAATTATATAATTAAAAGATTATTATAATAATAATAGATAACTAGTTAGTTAATCAATAATTTTTTAGTAAGTAAAGTAAAATTAAATTATATAAAATTATATAAAAAACAAGATATTGCTTGCTTGCTTAAGTAATGTTAGTAAAATTTTTAATATAAGAGTGAATAATTTATGTCAACTTTTAAGTTTTATAATAAAATCTTCAATCTTTTGATTATTTATTTTATATTTCTTATTATAAATTAATACTTTAAGGTTTTTTCTTTTAATTTTAAAATTGAAAATTAATTTATTCAATATCGACATTATATTTTGATTCAGTTTGGTGAGGCTTTAATTTAATAATTTCTAAAATTGGTTGGGGTTATTCCTATTTATTAAAATTTATTTATTAAGGTTCTTAATCTTACAATATTTAAGATTTTTTAAGATTTTCAATTTCTGCTAATTTTTATGATTAAGCAAGTTATAATACAGTCTTTAACTTTTATAAACTGTTTGTAATAAATTCAGAATTTTTATTTTAGCCTAATGGTCTTGTTAGCTAAATTCTATCTTCTCTTAACATTCTATTGGCTATAATAAATTCATCTAATTTTGATTTGTATTCTCTAATCAAAAAAGGTTTTAAATACTTTTCATTAAATCTGCTAAATTTGAATTAAATTTTTGAACCAAAAAGCTTTTCATCATAAACATCATTTAATAAAGCCTAAATCTTTTGTTTCTTTATAACAAAGTAATCAGTATCTGATAAGTTTTCATCTGATTCTTAATTATTTTAGCTAGTATCAGTGTTTTTGTTTATTTTTTCAGTCTAAACTTTTCTAATTTACACATTTTCATGCTTTTTAGCAGAATATTTTTCAGTCTAGGCTTTAGTTATTTTATATACTTCAATTACAATTTAATTTTCAATATCTTTCTGATTTTGTTTAGGATTTTTATGTTCATGTTCATGTTTATTATTATTTTAACTTTCATTTTCGCTATCATGATGTTATGGAGGAGGCAATACACAATCAATGAGCTTCGGGTTAATTAAACCAAAAAGTAAAGTTGTTGAAATGAGCACTCCTATCATTGTGCTGTTAAGTAAATCTTAATATTCTTCAGATTCAACTTGATCCATCAAGATAAAGCCAAGAATACCTCTACTGATACCTGTAAAACAGATTACAATTTATTCTCTTAGCCCCATTAAAAATGGTTTATTTCTGTAAAACAATCTGAAAATAGCACTCATCACGAAGACTTAAAATATTCTGCTTACTAGTAATATGAGTACAATCCAGCCAATTAATGAAAAACTCCAGGCATTTGTATAGAAAGAAAAAGTTGTGAAACCAACGAAAGCGAATAAGAAATTTTCAGCTCCACAAGAAATAGTTTGAAAAGTAACGTTTGCACATATTTTAGCTTTATCTGAGAGATTATGGAATCCATAATAGCCTATAATAAATCCACTAACAAGCAAAGAAATAATACCTGATAATTTGACGTATTCAATTATGCAATAGCCAGAATAACTGCACATAAAAATTATCAAAATTTCATGTATAACAGTCTAATTTAAAAATCTTAAATATTTCAAAAGAAGTGTGCAAAGTACTCCAAAAAATACTCCAGCAAATATGCTTTTATTTTAGAAATAAAAAAAATTAATTTGAGTATTTATTTACATTAAGTTAATAATTTTTAATTTAGAAGCTAAACTTATTCAAAAATTTTTAAATTTTTAAATTTTAGTATGATGAATGATCAATATAAAAATTAATAATATTTGTTCGATTATTTAAACCAAAATTATAAATTCTTTTTTTTGATTTGGCATCATTCGAAAAATTTAGCTTAATTTTCTAAATTATTTGAGGAAGCTTGAATAAAAGTAGAAAATGTATTAAAAAATATAATTTTTACCTTAAACTAAGGCTGATTATAAATATAATCAAAACATTTGGGATAGTAGACCAACTAAAATTTGACTCGTGTTCTATTAGAGTTTCAAAGCTTTCAAATAGAATCAAAGAAGTAGCATCGTTCATTATACCCTCACCAAAAATAACATGGAACAAAGTTGGGTATGCATGGTGACTGACCATTGTTGAGGCTAAGAAAGAATCTTTAGAGCTTAATGCTGCACTAAACAAGATGATTTCTTTTGTATTTAGCTATGGATCAGTTCCTACAATAGGATCATTAATTATGTCTTTATTTCCTCTATTAATTAATTAATTACAAATAAGAATATAATTTTTTATTTTCAAGTAGGATTAAGCTTATATTTATATTAAATAAATAAATAAATAAATACCTTTCAATTCTAATCAAGTCGTTGTTACAGAGATAATTCATGGAAACAACTAGGAAACTAAAAGTAATAATGGTTCCTAAGAACCCATAAATCAAGATATATGTCATATTATGGAAAAATATTTTCTTTTTCAATGAATAACCCTCAGCAAATACAATCGCAGGAAGAAATATATAGACAAACATTTTTTTTTCTAGCTTGACCTCATAATCTAATGCATAGTAAGCAAAAACAGATACAGCCATTCCAAGTACTATTGCTATTCCTGTTTCATGAAAATATCTAAAGTTTTTCTAAGAAAAGTAGCTACCTATAATTGATTATATAATTATAATCAAAACTACCAAAAAGGCTCCGATACCAAAATGATCATTCATTTTATAAATTTCTAATTTTTTTTAGCTTTTTTCAATTAATTAATTTAAATAGATTATAACCTATTCAGTTAGATATTCTTTTAAAGTAATCAAATTAATTATTATCTGATTAAAGATATGCTTTCTTCTTTGTATTCAATTGCATGGTAAATATGATTTATTTATATAACTATTTTAGTATGCGAATATGTTATACTAGCCACAAATCCCATATTAGTTACTAAATTTATAATTTTGGAAAACTGAGAATATAATAATATATATGTTGAATTTGAATTACATTCAATAAGTAGGTGAAGTATATAATTAAACTCATAATATTATTTGAAAAGTCTTCAATCAAACAAAATTGTGAGATAATACAAACATTTTAATTTTGTACATGGAATAAAAACTTCTCTCTATGTTTTTTCTTGAAAAATTTATTAAAATAGATTGGCTTTGAAATAGAAGAGGCGTGGAAATTAATTGAAAGGTATTCCCACTATTAATTAATCATAATATATTTAAATTTATATCAGAATGTAATAAGTAGTTGATTTTTTATCAAAAAATTTAATTAAATTTACCTAAAAATATGATATATATATTAAACTTAATTTGAGAGTGATGAAATTCATTTACTATAAAATTAAAACAAGAAAATTAATTAAATAATACCCCAAATGCCGAATGAATTAGTAATATTGATTACATACTAATTAATTTAATTGTAGACTTAGTATTTTATCAAAAAGGTAGAAGAGTAGCTATTATTTCAATCATATCTAAATTTATCTAAAACATAAATAAAAAGTAATTAAAATGAAATAGATACCCAGATTAATCATTAAATAAGTTAAATGGAATAATTTACTTCTTAGATTTAACTACCAGTACTTCTCTTAAATGTAATCAATCTCTCCATCTAATTTTTGATTATTTTTGCAGATTTGATAAAATTAAAATTTTGTTTTTTAATACTTTTGATATAAAATAAATATGAGAAATTACAGTTAATAAAATAATTTTTTTGTCACATCACTCTGAAATTAAAATTAATTTTCTGCATAAATAAAGAAATAACGTAAACTATTATAATTGGAAGTTATTTCCTCTTTTTTTTTGTATTTATATTTTTAAGTAAATATAAATATTATAAAAGCTTATTAATTATTACTAAAACTTCTACTTTAAAATGGATAGAATAAAAGTTAAATTTTTGAATTTAGATAATATGTATATATTTTGCATAAGGCAAAAATAATTTTTAAAATAAAATTAAGAAATATATCCATCCTTATTAGCATAATTTATACATTAATCAATAACATTTTTTAAATTTGGAAATTTGAACTCATTTAATATATAGAGATAGAGATAATTTTATAAGCCAAACGATTTTCGTCTATGCTTCAATTATTGTATGGAAACTAAACATATTTAAAAATTATTATAAACTAAATTAAACTAGATACTATTTTGATAATTTTGGTATTTTTAAAGAATTAAATCATATTAATTAAACAGCATAGAAATATTCAAAAAATTTAGAAAAATGAATTAATTTATTTAGAAAACTCAACTGTTAACAAATATGTTGTTTAATAAATATCTATGAACCTTTACTAAATCAAAAGTTCTTTGCTACTTGAAAATAATTCAATAAATTTAATTGTTAATCATATAATTTGCCATTAATGTGACTTTAATGTTGGGAAAAGCACTAAAAAAGATTACCTCTTAAATTTTTATCTGTAGTTCTTACTAAGCACTCTTAATTGATGTTTATATTTCTTCTATATAATAATTTAATTAATAACAAAAATTAATTAAAAAGCAAATAGAGAGTAGAAAGAAAGAAAATAAATTATTCCTATTAATTGATAAATTTATAAGTTTATTAGCATTTATCTAGTAAAAAAAAAGCGCAAATCCTTATACAGTTGAGTATTATTGAGGCAAATGAGGAATAATTTTTATGGCTAAAAATTAAACAAAACGATTTGTTTTGAATTTAAGATGAATACCTAAAATAGGTAGATCCATTCATTTAATCTTAATTTCCTTTTATTATTTAAAATATTTTTTATGTAAAAACACTTAAAATTTAATTGGAATCAAATTTTGTTACTAAGATAGTTCATGGAAAACAACCATGAAACTAAAAATAATAATGTTTCCTAAGAAATTTTTTATTTAAATGTATTTCATGTAATCGAAAAATACGTTCTGTTTTAAAGAATATTAATCAAATCTAATCGCTGTGAGGAAAATGTATGCTAAAATTCTTTTTTTTTTTTAAGAAGATGATAAATAAATAAATTAATTAATTATTTTGATTAAGTTAAAACAAAATACAAAACAAAAAATTATTAATAAGTTTGAAATTAATTATTTGAGTTAAGTAAATATTTTTGCATATGAGAGAAGAGTTTTTATTAATTTTTAGTTTGATTATGAAATCATCAAATTTTTTATTATTTATTTGATATTTCTTATTATAAATTCAGGTTTTCATTTTTTTTCTTTGAATTTTAATTTTGAAAATTAATTTATTCAATATCTACATTATATTTTGATTCAGTTTGATGAGGTTTTAATTTGATAATTTCCAAATTTGGTTGGGTTTGTTCTTTTTCATTTAAATTTATTTTTTTAGGCTCTTAATCTTGTAATACTTAAGGTTTTTTTACGCTTTCGATTGCAGCTAATCTCTATGATTATGCAAATTTTAATACAGTCTTTATTTTTTATAAACTATTTGTTATAAATTAGGAATTCTTATTTTAACCTAGTGGCCTTGTTAGCTAAATCCTATCTTCTCTTAACATTCTATTGGATATAATGAACTCGTCTAATTTTGATTTGTAATCTCTAATCAAAAAAGGTTTGAAATACTTTTCATTATATCTGCTAAATTTGAATTAAATTCTTGAACCAAAAAGCTTTTCATCATAAACATTATTTAATAAAGCCTAAATCTTTTGTTTCTTTATTATAAAATAGTCTTAATCTGATAAATTTTCGTCTGTTTGTTAATTATTTTCACTAGCTTCAGCTTTTTTGTATACTCTTTCAGTCTAAACTTTCCTTATTATAACATTTTCATTTTCATTAGGAGCGTTGTTCCCTGATTGGATTTTATTTAAATTATTTCCTTCAATTATATTCTAATTTTCTATATCTTTATGATTTTATTTGGGGTTTACATGCTCGTGTTCAAGTTTGTTTATAATTTAACTCTCATTTTCATTATCTTGATGTTTTGGAGGAGGCAACACACAATCTATGAGCTTTGGATTAATTAAGCCAAAAAGTAAAGTTGTTGTAATGAGCACTCCTATCATTGTGCTGTTAAGTAAATCTTAATATTCTTCAGATTCAACTTGATCCATCAAGATAAAGCCAAGGATACCTCTACTGATGCCTGTAAAGCAAATTACAACTTATTCTCTTAGCCCCATTAAAAATGGTTTATTTCTGTAAAACAATCTGAAAATAGCACTCATCACGAAGACTTAAAATATTCTGCTTACTAGTAATATGAGTACAATCCAACCAATTAATGAAAAACTCCAGGCATTTGTATAGAAAGAAAAAGTTGTGAAACCAACAAAAGCGAATAAGAAATTTTCAGCTCCACAAGAAATAGTTTAAAAAGTAACATTTGCACATATTTTTGCCTTATCTGAGAGATTATGGAATCCATAATAGCCTATAATAAACCCACTAACAAGTAAAGAAATAATACCTGATAAATTCAAGTATTCTATTATGCAATAACCAGAATAACTGCACATAAAAATTATCAAAATCTCATGAATTACAGTCAAATTTAAAAACCTTAAATGTTTCAGAATTAGTGTGCAAAGTACTCCAAAAATTGCTCCAGAAAGTATACTTTTATTTTAGAAAAAAAAATAATTGATTTGAATGATTATGTTGAGTTATTTACTTTTAAAATTTAGAAACAAAATTTATTTAAACAGTTTTTTATGATGGAAAATTTATCAATAATTATTAGTGATATTTATTTAATTCATACTTGAACTAAGTAAATAAGTTTAATTTTATCTAAAATTAACAGCATTAAAATTAATTGATTATTTTTCTAAATTATTTGAGTAAATTCAAATAAAAGTGTAAGAAAGCTGAAAAAAATCTCATTTATTTATTTTTACCTTATACAAAGACTAATTATAAATATGATAAAAACATCTGGAATAGTATCAAAGGTAAAATCTGACTCGTGTTCTATTAGAGTTTCAAAGCTTTCAAACATAATCAAAGAAGTAGCATCATTCATTATACCTTCGCCAAAAATAATATGAAATAAAGTAGGGAATGCATGATGATTGACCATTGTTGAGGCTAAGAAAGAATCTTTAGAGCTTAACGCTGCACTAAATAAGACGATTTCTTTTGTATTTAGCTATAAATGAGTCCCTGCGATAGCATGCTTGATTATATCTTTATTTCCTCTATTAATTAATAATTAATTTTAATGTATTTGTTTGTTAGTATTGGCTAGCTTAAATTTATATTAAATAAATACCTCTCAATTTTAACGAAATCACTGCCACAAAGATAGTTCATGGAAACAACTAGGAAACTAAAAGTAATAATGGTTCCTAAGAACCCATAAATCAAAATATATGTCATATTATGAAAAAATATTTTCTTCTTCAAAGAATAACCCTCAGCAAATACAATAGCAGGAAGGAAAATATAAACAAACATTTGTTTTTCTAGCTTTACCTAGTAATCTAAAACATAATAAGCAAATATAGATACGGACATTCCAAGTACTATTGCTATTCCAGTTTCATGAAAATATCTAACATTTTTCGAAGAAAAGTAGCTACCTATAATTGACTATATAATTATAATCAAAACAACAAGAAATGCTCCAATACCAAAATGATCGCTCATTTGAAAATATTTAAAAATGTCTAAGTTCTTTTTTAGCTTTTATCAATTTATTTAAATTTAGGAGTTTATACTTATTTTTTTCAGATAGATAAATTCCTTTGAATCAATCAAATTTCTTAAAAAAGAGATATTTTTTTCCTTGTATTTTATTGTAAGGCAAATCAGATTTAATTAATTACCTTTTTTTTAAATAAAATGCTAAAATATCTACTAGCTAGCTGGGATAAATGGGTATTTAAATTAATAGCATAGAAATTTTCTTGAATTCAGCTGAAATTAAACATGTCGCCGAATAATAAATTAAATGAAGCTTTTATTTTAAAAGTCCTCAACCAATCAAACAAATTGGCTAAATAATGTTAACTGTTTTAATTTTAGTTAATTAAGTAAGAAACCTACCTACTTTTGTGTTTTATCTAGTTAAATTTACTATTTTAATAGATTAAATTTAATAAGTACTGAAATAGAAGAATCATTTAAATTTATTGAATGTTAATTTCACTAATGATTCTTTACTAATTAATTTAAGTTTATATCAGAAAGTAATAGTAGCTGGTTTTTTATCAAAAAGAAATAGATTTACCCTAAAATAAAGTTTTAAAATACTAAATATGAAATCAATCAATCAATCAATAATTTAATTACCATAAAAATATATGCTTAAAAGTAAAAACTTTTATTTAAAAATTTTATCTATCTTTACTATCATGCTTTCCTTCTAATAGAAAATTAAATCATCATACTAAATTTATTATTTTAATAGATTAATTTTCATTTATTTGAGATAGAAGAGAGAATCATTTAATAAATTGATTGAAAATTTATTGTATATACTCATTATTCTTGACAAAAAATTTAAGTTGAAATCATAAAATAATTAATATTTAACAAAGTTAAAACACTCAATTTCGCTTATCTTAAATCGAAATGACATCATACACTAGTTACATATATATAAAAAGGCAACTTTAAAATTTATTTTAATTATTTTTTACAGGATTTAACAATTCTTATTGCATTATCTAGAAATGATTCCAGAAATAATTGAAGAATGAATGATATTTTTAGAAAGCTGGCCTGTTAGTAAATATGTATGCTGTTTACTTTAAGATTCGCTGAATTAAAAGAAACCTCTGAATTTGAGATAAATATTTAATATAATTAAAATAAAGATAAATTAGTGAAATATTATTCCTTAAAAAATAAAGAAAATGATGATCTTATTAAATTAATTTTATATATTTTACATAATCAAATTATATTTCATACAAATAAATAAAAAAGCGTTTTTTATTTTAATAATTACAATTAGATATTTTAAGTAGTATATAAATCATATGATGTATTTTTCATAAATAAATAAATAAAATTATTATATTTGCACATTAAAAAATTAAATGAGCGTGATTTTTGTTTTACATCACTTGAAATCATTCTTTTTATTCACTTTTTTCACTAACTTCCAAAATTTCCTCATTACAAGCATTATTAAAGACAGTTTAACTTTATGAATTTAATTCTAATTTTACATAACAATTCGAAAGCTATTCTTTTTTTGTCTAACTATTTTATTTAGATAGTTTTTTACTTGAATTAATTTTTTCCAATTATATTGGATTTTACTAAAATTTCTTACTTTCTTTACTATCTTTCTTAGAAACGGATTTAAATATTTATAATTCTGGCTAATTTTCTATTTCTTATTGCTAAATATTTTGAAATTTGGATGTGTTTATAGCAGATTTTAACTTTTGCAGACTATTTGCTATAAATATCGAGTTCCTGCTTTTGTTACCAGGTTTTATTAGTTACATTTTAGTTTCTTTTAGCATTAAATTAGCAACAATAAATTCATCTAACTTAGATTAATAATCTCTTATTAGGAAAGTTTTGATATACTTCTCATTAAATTTACAAAATTTAAATTATAACTTAGAACGAAACAATTTTTCGTTGTAAGTATCACTTAATAAAGCTTCTATTTTTTATCTTTTTTTAGCAAAATTTTCTTATTCTGAATTTTGTTCTTCTTAATCAAAATTTTCAATATTTTATTCTATTTTATTTGATTAGTTAGTGGATTAATTTAAGTTTATCTCATTCATAGATTTACCTGTATAATTCTTGATAATTTAAGATTTATTTTCTTAATTTTCAACATCTTAATCTTATTTATTATTTATAGTAGGAATATTTTTATCATTCTCTTATCCTCCTTGTTTTTTCAGATCTTTCAAAACACAATCAATAAGCTTAGGATTTATTAAACCAAACAAAAGGGTTGTAATTATAAGTACTCCAACCATAGTGCTATTTAATAAATCTTAATAATAAACAGAATCAGCTTGATCCATCAATATAAAACCAAGAATACCCCTGCTTATTCCTGTAAAGCAAATAACTGCTTGTTCTCTAAATTTAACTATAAAAGTACTTTTTCTGTAAAATATTTTGAAAATAGCACTTATTACAAAAACTTAAAATATTCTGCTAATAGTTATAATAAGTATAACCCATCCAATTAGAGAAAAGCTCCAAGCATTTTTATAGAAAGAGAAAGTGGTAAAGCCAACATATGCGAATAGGAAATTTTCTGCTCCACTTGATATTGTTTAGAATGTTACATTAGCACAAATCTTAGCTTTATCAGAAAGGTTATGGAATCCATAATGACCAATAACAAAACCACTAAAAAGGAGTGATATGATTCCTGATAAATTTATATATAAGTTAGCACAATAGCCTAAATAGCAGCACATAAATACTATTAAAATTTCATGTATAACTGTAAGGTTGATAAATTTCATGTGTTTCAATATCAGAGTGCACAAAACACCAAAAAATATCCCTATTACAATACTAAATAATAAATAATTATAAATATAATTTTAAATGGGTATTTTAATAATTTTAAATTAAATATATGCGAGATATAATGCTCCATATTCAGATTTTTAATTGATTTTTTGTTTTTTGATTATATAATCAAGAACAAACATAATTTAACTAAAATAAAACAAAAATTTTTATTCATATTAAATGGTTGTCTTAACAAAATTTTTTACAAAATATCTTAAACGAAAAAATTAATTTACCACATAACTATGCTGAGCATAAAATTAAGCAAAACATGTGGAAGAGTATTCCAACTAAAATCAGACTCGTCTTCAACATAGGCTTGAAAACTTTAGAAGAGAACCAAAGAAGTTGCATCATTCATGATACCTTCTCCAAATATAATATGAAATAAAGTAGGATACATTTCATAATTGACCATATTTGTTGCCATGAATGTATCTTTTGAGCTCAGAGCAGCGCTAAAAAGAATTATTTCTTTGGTGTTTAATTCCATAGGACTTCCTACTATAGGGTCACCATCGTCAAAACTAGTATTTCCTCTATATAATAATTAAGTTAATAGTCAAAAATTAATTATTTACAAATAAAGAGATATCAAATAAATAACGTCAATTATTTAATATTGATTATGATTTCAATTTATTTCTAAATTTATTAATGAAACATATCTTAAACCCTCGTAAACCAAAATAAAAATTGTTCATTAAAAAAAATAAATTTCAAAATTATAATATTATTTTTATAAAAAATATGATTTTTTAGATGTTTGAATTAATAAAGATCTAAAGTATTTAGAAAAGAAATACCTTTCTACAATGATCAAATTTTTGTCACATAGAAACTCCATAGATATTGTCAGAAAAGTAAAGGTTATTAATGTTCCTAAAAATCCATAAATTAGTATGTATGACATGTTTTTAAAAAATAATTTTTTTTTTAGTGAGTATCCTTCACTAAAAATTATGGCTGGCAAAAATATGTAAATAAATGTTTCTTATTAGAGCTTTGCCTGATAGTCTAAACCATAATAAGCAATTGCAGAAGCTGCTATCCCAAGAACCAAAGAGATTCCTGTTTGGTGAAAGAATCTGATATTTTTATAAGTAAAATAGCTCCCAACAATAGATTGTACTATGATAATTAAAACAATGATAAATGCACCAATTCCAAAATTATCGCTCATATTCCTATTCCAGTAAGTTTATATTGATTTTAGTGAGTGAGTTAGTTTTTTTAATTTAAAAATGTTCTTTGAATTAATTAATTATTTATTTGATTTTAAGAAATTAGTCTAATGATTAACTTTATTTTTATAATCTTTTTTTTCTTTGAAATTTTAAGTAATAGCTCTTGTATTTAATTATGATAGAAAGAAAGCATTAAGCTCTTTTTTTTAAGCTGCTGTGATGTTTTATATACAAATAAGTATTTTTTTAAAGATAATAGACAAACATTTAATTTGACAAAATAAATAATAAATAATTAATTACCCATCTAATCTATCATTCTAAAATTTAATTTTATTACCATAATTTATTAGAACCCATCCATAAACCAAACCTTTTTTTCTTAAATTGTTTAATTAGTAAATGTGTAAATTTAGATTTTTATTTTTTATAAGAAAATAATTTTTTGTAATAAATTGTAAGTGGTGAAAACAACTTACCTGAAAATATAATAATTGCTTTCTTTTTTCAAATAAGAATGATTATTAAGTATTAGAAATATAGAGACTTAATTATATTGTGCGAAATTCGATTAAATCCATTCCCAAAATAAATTCACAAATGAAAACCAACACAAATAAACAAATCAAATTATTAGAAAAAATATTTATTTTCAACTACTTCACATGAGTCTTTACATCTTTTAAAGATTAAGATTAGTAAGCCCAACTAAAATTTATTAGCGAATGAATTTAGTTTTGGAAAACAAAAGGAATTAAAAGTTAAAATGTTTGGAAAGACATCAAAAAGTAAAGAAAATTTAAATTTTCATATATAAAAATTGGATGGTTTAAAAGACTAAAGGAAATTTTTGTAATTGTGTCAAATTTTTTTGAATTCTAATATTTTTTATCTATTTCTGCAATTTTACAGGTCAAATTATGGAAAGTTACTTAAAAAATTTGGAAAGTATTCGAAATAGTATAAATAATTTTTATTTAAATTTCAATAAAAGTGAATTTTAATTTAAAATTAAACAAAGCTAAAATAAATTGCATAAAGCTAAAAAATCATAAATAAATTTACAAATACTTTTTTAAATAGAATTAAAAATATTATTTTATAAAATCACAAATTTAATTTAATTTTGTTAAAATGTATTAAATTATTTGCATGAATAAAATTAATTTTACACAATATTTATTTAATGAAGTAAACAATCTTAAATAAATATTAAATAAGAATTATATGTTTCTTCTATAATAGGTATAAGAAATTTTTTAGAAATAGATTAAGATTTTCAGATAGTTTTTATTGATAAGATATTTTTTTTACACTAATTTATTTTAATATTGACTAATCAATCAATTTTATTTTAACTGATGCTATTATTTTTCTAACTTACAAATTTTTTATTTTCTTCATCAGGCACTTAAGGTTTTTATTCTTTTTCTTATTTCTTTTAATGGTGGATGTTTTTGAGAACATTTTTTACTCTTATTAAGCTGGCAGCAATAAAGGCAGAATTTCTATTTTGGTGCTGAGGTCTAATTAGTTACATTCTATCTTCTCTTAGGAATCTACTAGCGATGATAAACTCATCTAATTTAGATTTGTAGTCTCTGATTAGAAAAGGTTTGATATATTTTTCATTGATTCTGCTAATTTTGAATCTGATTTTAGAAGCAAACAATTCAGGGTCATATTTGTTATTAAGAAGAGCTTATATTTTTTGTTTTTTAACAAAAAAGTACTCTGGGTCGAATTAACTTTCATCATAATGAAAAAGATTATTAAATTTTTGTGTCATTTAAGGATCTTATTGTATTTCTGCTTTACTATTGCTTGGATTGTTGTTGTTTTTTATCTCATCTTTACTTTTTTATTTTTATTTTTCAGATTTAGTGTTTTCTTAACCCTTTTAGTCCTTTTTATCTTAATTTTCAAGTTCAACATTTTCTAAACTAATAATGTTATTATCAACTTTTTCTAGTTATTAGCAAGCCATTTATTATTCTACTTTATAATTTTTTAGGTCATGATCTTGCTTTAAGTCATGTAATTTAGAGCTGCCTAGTTCTGTTTCTAATTTAGTTTTTTTTTCATGGGCATGGGCATCTTTTTAATGCTCAACATTGTGATGTTATGGAGCAGGTAAAACACATTCAATAACTTTAGGATTTATAATACCGAAGAAAAGAGTAGTTATGATAAGCACTCCAATCATAGTGCTATTTAAAAGATCTTAAAAGTCATCTGAATGAACTTAGTCCATCAAAATATAACCTAATATACCTCTACTTACTCCGGTAAAACATAAAACAGTTTGCTCCCTTAATTTAACAATAAATGGTGTTTTTCTGTAAAATAATCTAAAAATGGCACTCACGACAAAGACTTAAAATACCCTACTTATTATCAATATAAGTATAATCCATCCAATTAAAGAATAGCTCCATGCGTTTTAGTAGAAAGAAAATGTAGTAAAACCAACAAAAGCAAATAAGAAGTTTTCTGCCCCGCTAGATATAGTTTAGAAAGTAACGTTTGCGCAAATCTTAGCTTTATCAGAAAGATTGTGGAATCCATAATAACCAACTATAAATCCGCTTACAAGGAGAGAGATAATTCCTGAATATTAAAAGTATTCAATGATACAATAGCTAGAATAACTGCACATAAACACAATCAAGATTTCATGGATAACTGTTTCATTTAGAAATTTCATATGCTTTAAAATAAGCGTGCAAATAACACCAAAAAAAGTTCCTGATAAAACACTTTTCAATTAAAAAAATATTGAGTTTCAAAAAAATCAAAATAGTAAAAAAAATTTATTCAATTTAAATGGAGATTAGCTTTTAATTAATTAATTGAATTATTTCAAATACAAATTCGTTTTAATTTTTATGATAAATAAGTCCTGAAAAAGCTCCAGAAGTTTAGTTAGAGTAGATAAAATTTCTTCTAAAAATTAATCAATCAAAAAATTAGTCAATTAATTAATCAATCTCTCTTTTACAACCATCGAAGTTTTAAATTTATTTTTATAAGAATTGAACAGAATCTTTTTAAAACTTTTCATCGATTTATTTGTTTGAAATAATTATTTTTACCTTAAGATAATGCTGACAAAGAATAAACCAAATACATATGGAATAGTACTCCAACTCATTTTAGATTCATGTTCAATAAGTTATTCAAAGCTTTCAAATACTACCAAAGAAGTTGCATCGTTCATTATACCTTCTCCGAAAACTATGTGAAAAAGAGTTGGATAAGCATGATGATCTACCATAGTGGAACCCAAAAAACTATCTTTAGAACTAAGAGCAGCACTGAATAGAATAATTTCCTTAGTACCAAGAAATACTTCTGTTGGAACATAATCTGCTTCATTACTATGTTTGCGATTGCTTTTTTAGAAAAATTTAAGGTTAATCATTAAGAAAATCAAAATAATAACAAATAAATAAATAATACCTTTCAATTGAAATTAACCCATTATTTTGAATATAATTCATAGAAAAAGCTAAAAATGTAAAGGTTATAATAGTCCCTAAAAATCCATAAATAAGAATATATGTCATGTTATTAAAGAATATCTTCTTTTTTAGTGAATAACCTTCGCTAAACACAATAGCGGGCAAGAATACGTAAACAAAGATCTTTTTTTCTAACTTGACTTGATAATCCAGTCCATAGTAAGTGATAGCAGATACGAGGATTCCAAGTAAAATAGCAACTCCTGTTTGATGAAAGTATTTAAAATTTTTGAAAGAAAAGTAGCTTCCAATGATTGATTGTATGACTATAATCAAGACAATAAAGAAAGCGCCTATTCCAAAGTGGTCATTCATTTTTTAGTATGTATGCTGGTTATTTTTTATTTGAATTTGAGTTATATTTTTAAAGATTATAAAATTAGATAACCTTAAAGTTTAAACAAGTGAATATTAAAGTGTGTGTGTAATTAATTGACTCTTTTTTAATAAAATAAGAAATTTAATAACTTACTGCCCAACCTTTCTATTATCAAAAAATTTTTTTGTAAGTTAGTATATTTTTGATCATTATAGACTTTAGAATTAAAAATAGACAAACCAAAATTTAATCATAATTGCTTCTGATCAATTACTAAAAACCTAATCAAATTTGTTAATTACTCATTTTTTCTTTACTAAAAATGAATATAAAATATGCCCTTTTTGCAATTATAATATTTAAAAATACCAAGTTTTAAATAAAATTGTTTTTCTTTTAATTTTTGAATAATTTTCATTTTATAAATTTGTGCTTTTTGATATAAATTTTGTAAAAGAAAAGTCAAAAAGTCTAAATATTTTTGGAACAAGTCAGTCACTAACTAAAAATTAATTTCGAAATAAAAATCAATCACTTAAATGGCTATTAAATAATTAGAAAATAAAATAGATAGTTTTAAGCTATTAGACAATTATCAAAATTAAGTGAATATGAGTTAGACTTTTTATAAATAATTAAATTCTTACTATTAATTGTAATATTATTTATTTTCTATTTTAATATGTATTTAATAAATTTAATTAATTCTTACCAGAAAAATTTAACAAATATTCAAAAATTTTTTATTATAATCTAAGTGACTAGTAGACTTTATATTTATTTTCTAATAAGTAAGCCAAAATAAAATATCTCTCATTATTTAATTGATACTTGAAATATCTAAATTTAATTTTGTATTTTAATAATTTGAGTTATTTTCTAATAACTAAAACAAAATAAAATATCTCTCTTTATTAAATTGAAACTTGAAAAATTCATATTGTATTTGAATTTTTGTTGTAAATCTTAACAGCCAAAAATAAATATGATTATTTAATGTTTTATAATTTATCTGCAAATTAAATATATACTGAGACATTTCTTTAATTTCTTCTTTTTCTATAAATTTTACCCAAAATTAATAAATAAAATTGATAATTTAAATTTTACAAATATTTATTGGGCAATTTAATTTATTTAAATAAAATTACAATATATAAAAATAATGATTTAGTTATCATATTTATACTAAATTCTAATATTTCTTTCAATATTCCAGATGAAATAAGATAAGTCTTTTTAATCTTAAGAGTTTATTTTTCTATTTTGTAATGGATTTTTCAAATTCAATAGAATTGTTCCTATGAAATAAATAATTTTAGATGTATTTTTTGAAAACAATTTACTTTAATAAAAGGTTTATCGTTCTTAAATCTTTGATTTCATATAATTTATCTAGCATCTATTTGAGTCCTTCGTAAAAAATCTAATTATTACTTTATTACAATAGCTTTTATATATTTTAATAATTATATTTTTTTACTATAAATCTATTTTAATATGGAGCAGGCATTTTAATTCAGTTAAGTTTTAGCACAAATTATCCACACTAGAGTTTCTTAGTTTATTTGAACTTTTAAAAATATTAAATTGAATCAATTAATTTTAGCTGAATTAAATAAATAAATACTCATAAACAAATGATAGATATTATAAATATCTAAGATTGATCAAGCCTGAATGAAAAGATTTCAAGGTACTTTAAGATATTTCAATGCTGCTTCTAATTTAATTTTTAACAAGTTTTTTAGATAAAATTAGAAAATATATCTTGTTCATTCATACCCGATATCCAAATCTAAATAATCTAGCTATTTACATTTAAAAACTCCTTCTAAAAAGCTTTCGATCCCATTCTCTGATAAATAATTACATCTTTTTAATTATAAATATATAAACAGATAATAATAAATTAATTTATTTTAATTTATACTCTAAATAAACAGTCAAATTTTTTAGACTCAGACATTTAGAAATACTATTTCCCAATAGCAAAGCTCCTTGATCTCTTATCAGATTATGACTATTACCAAAGTTTTTTCATAAAAATTTTGATTTAAAATTCTAAAGTTAAAATTCTAATTTGTAAAATAAATACCTTATATCTAAAATTAAAATTTAGATTTTTTTTAGTTTCATCAACCCTGAAGTTAGTCCCTTTAAATGTTAATCTTAAAGACTATGAAATCTGATATTTATAAAGAAATTTTAGGTATTATTAAAATATTTATTTTATACTGAAGATTGATATTAACATCTAATAAATTATCTGAAGTTGAAAGAAGATTTCCTAGAATGCGAGCTTATCTAATTGAAATACCATTGCTCCTAATTAATATTTAAAAAAATAATTAAAATTTCATGCAAATAAAATCTTTTATTACAAAACATTTATTGCAAATTTGGTCAATTTCTAACAGTGATTGAAGGCCTCAAGGAAGTTTTTAAACCAATTTTCAGAAAGCATTTAAAGTGAACAGTGACTGATAAAAAAATTAATAATATTATTAAAATATCATACGATTATTTATAATTTACTTAAATAAGAGATTTACAGAAGCCAAATTGCTACACTTTTTAATATCTTGAACAATATTCTAATATAAATCATTTCTGGAGTGTATGCTTAGAAAAAAAATAGTTTAATAAATATCATTCAATAATAATTTTACTATTTATAAATTGGATTTTGTTTAAATGATTCGAAGTCTTCCATGTAATCTTAAAAACTAATAGATCATTAGTTAATGTATAAAAAATAATATCTAATTAATACTTAAAATTCAGTGCCAAAGTCTCTACTAATTGTTTGCATACTGTATCTTTCAACTTATAATTATGTTATTCAAATTTAAATAATTAAAAATTACCTATTGAACACTTTTTACATTGTTTTAATCCTATTTCAAAACTAATTTTTTTAACTTCATTTCAAAATTTAGCTCAAAAAACACAAACAAACAAATAAACAAATAAAATAATTAATTATTATTATTTCTACTAAAACTTAATATTTAAAAACTTTATCAAATAAATGAGAAGAATAAATTAATTTCCCAATTCTAATCTTCAAAATATTTAGTTTAATAAATTTCTTATTAAATATAATGAATAATTAATTTTATTTATGTCATTTTTAAATTGTATTTAAAAAAAAGATTTCTTTCACAAAATGTATAGAATTTATTTAAAAAATCTTTACAAATTTCATAAGTAAATATGTTGAGATATTTTTTTGATTTTTTGTAAAATTTATATTATCTGCTTATATGAAGTATACCAACATATAATAAACATAGAATATTGAGATATTTTTTTTTAATTTTTAGATAGACTGTTTATAAAAGTGATAAATTAGCGCAAATTTTAATTTTTAAATTAAAATAAAAGTAAAATCTATCTATCTATTTATTAATTTATATTTTTATTATTTCTAAGAGGAGATAAGATATGGATTAGAGTATTGAAGAAAAAGAAAAAAATCCTCCTTAAGATTACAATTAAGATGACATCATTACATTAATTATGTAAAGGAATAATAAGATATTAGGGTATGGAGAAATATAGCATTTATTTGAGTCTATTAAAAGAGAAAAACCTCATTTTACTGTGACATAATACATTACAGCTGAATTCAAACCTCAAAGAGTACCTTCATATATTTCGCAAAAATCAGCATTAATGTAAACTTTTTTGACAAATAAAAATTATTTATGATTAATATTTAGCAATAAAACAGTTTCAGGAGCAATCCTTTATCTAAGAGTGTTTGATTAAGAGCAAAAAATCAATAAATGCTTGAAAATTTATTTATTAGACCATTTTCTTGATGGTCTATTTGTAAGTAGCATTAATTAATTGTATGAAAGCATGAAGACTCTGATAAGGACTGATCTTATATTATAAGTATATGGTACTTACGTCTTAAATGGCAATGATGATTGCAAGACTTACTTTGTTATTGAATATGAGAACTACGAAAATTCTCTATCAAAACTTTATAATCACAACAGACCAAACATGCTGCCTGAAAACTTGAAGTAAATTATGGAGAATACTCTTAATTACTGTTCTGATCGTTCAAGTATCAAAGAGAAAACAAGGATGAAAACAATGAATTTCCCTTAGGATTATTTAAAGTACTTTTTTATGGTTAAAGCAGATGAAGAATAATGCAAAATTAAGCTAAATATTCTCTCACCTGAAATATTCTAAAGCAATATTAACACTGGAGAGAGCCTAATAATGAAAAATATTAAAAGCTAAACATCTTCTAAGAAGAAAAGAGAAAAAGGTGAAAGAAATAAGCAAGTCAACGAGCTGAATAGTAAGCTTGGAAGGTTACTCTTAGATGTATAAGTTCTTAATTAGATCAGGAAAGAAGATTTAGTTGATACTTTAAGAAAGAATTTCAATTAGATAATTGAATGCCATGGTGTTTCATTGTTTGAGATTATAGCCTAGCATCCTAAATATCGTAGTTTTGAATTAGAAGAGTACAGTCATGATTTCTTCATTTTAGGCACTTAAATTAATAATAATTATTACAATTTAAAGTGTGAAAAATTTTAAACATTGAAAGAATTAGAAGACACAATTAAATTGTACGAATAATTTTATTAAAACAATAATCATATGCTTATTCCTGTAAATAGTTATGAACCTCTACTTGTTGATGAAGGCTATTATCTATTGATTGAGGAACAAGTTATGCCAAATTCAAATAAGTTTAAAAAGAATAAATAGCTGCAACAAAACTTAAATTCAACTTTTATCACTATTTCATAGATTTGTGACAAAAAGAATCCCTCTAAATAAGAAAAATTGAGAATCTTGTAGATTGTTGTTTAGCTCTTAAGATTTACTTAACATCTTTATTCTAATAATTTCTATCATGGTGACATTGATTTCTAAAACACACTAGTGAGCTACTCGAATACTTATTCAGCAGAACCACCAACTCTGTATTTTAGTAACCCTCTTTTTTTAAGAAACAAAGAAAACAAAATAAACAAGAGAAAAAATGCTAACGATTTTGAAAGTTTAGATGACATAATCTTTTTACTTTTAGTTGATTAGAAATTAGATTCGATAATTGATCAATCAGCAATCAAATAGTTATCCAGAGCTCAAGAAAATTATTTTTAGGATATAATCAACCATAGACATGAAGCTAATCAGAGTAATAAATCTATGATGCAATACGAAGAAAATGGTATTAGTTTCTATGTTAATCGCTTAACAGACTTGTTCAAACTATTTGAAGAAATTTATCAAAAGCAAATGTCTGATAAATACATAAGAATAAATAAGAAATGGCTAATAACACTTAATAAATATTAAGTTATTTAGGGTTGCTAAAATTTTTTAGCCCACAACCACAACCATTTATTTCATAATCATCAGGGATAGTAAGATGATTACGAATATGATGAAAATGAAATTTTTGATGATTAAGAGGGGGAATTTGGTGAGGACGACTATTACGATGATGACGATGAAGATGATGATGATGATGGATATGGTTTTTGGCAATTTATGGATGAAGACGAAATTGATTCAGATATGGATGAAGTTAATCATGGAATATATTAATTAGATTAATGCATTACTCCAGAAATGTTCTAATTAAAAGTTGATAAAATTGTATATAATTTCAAATGGAGAAAAGATTTTACTATTGTTCAAATCCTTAAATCAATTGCTAGCAATAATAATTTAATTTCAATAAATTTTAAGTCATTCTCATCCTGCTCTATAAGGAATAATAAAAATGTGAAAGAGCATACAAATGACTACCTCAATAACATTTTGAAAAATTGCACAAATTTACAAACTGTTAAGCTAGATATTTAGTAAGAAGATATTTAAGTATTCGATGTCAAACTATTGTAAAATTTACACGATTTACAAAAAATCAAGATTAAGGTATTTCTCTAGCTAAATCCAAATATTTTCAAAAATGAAAATCAGTTTATGGAAAATATCAACTTCTATAAGAATTTTCTTGAATTATTTAAAATTAACAAGCAGTTCAAGTCAATTAATATCTACCCATTTACATTTTTCATTTGTTCACTACCTTATAACAATATTAATTGGTATTTCCAATCTATCGGCAAACTGTTAAATTCAATTTATCAGAATATTAATAACCAAGAATATAACAATACAAACCCTAATAAAAGGAAAAGGGCCATTAAATAACTTTATAGCTTCTCATAGCTTACCTAAATAAATAGTTAAGAGTTGTTATAGAGAGTTTAATCTAAAAGTAATGATGATGTAGAGAGTGCTATAGATGCATTCTTTAGATCAAATAATATCAGACATTCCCAAATTAGAAAGATAGCAAGATAAAATGTGCTATAGCAAGCAATTGGTATTTTGAATAAATACCATTTTTTGACATTAAAAACTATGATAGATGAAGAAAAAAAAGATCAATTAATATTGAAATTTTCTCATCTTTTAGATTAATAAATCGGAAGTTTAGTGATAAAACTCACATATGATGAATAATTTGGATTTATGGTAGTATCTGAAGAATGCAATGATTAAGATAGATATAAGTGCTATTAATTTAGATTTTTAGTCCCAGAATTTAGTATTAGAATGATTGAAAGGTGGATACTTTGTGATTACGATAAGAAAATAAAGTAATACATGTTTGGAGAAAATTATTTCTCTTTATGCAGACATTGTGACACATTTTAATTCCAAAAGTTAGCATATTTAGGTTAAAAAGATCTAAAAAAATTGACTCTCCACATTGAATTTTGCGAAAATTACAATAAAATGCTAACTTAAAATAAAGATTTCTTTGGGCTATCTCAGATTCCTTCAAAACAATTAACCGAGATTAAGCTTTCACCAAGAATTTTTGATTATAGAAATGTTTTGCAGTGCTATAAAAATATAAAATATTAACTTTAAAATGCAAGATATTTATGTAAAGTTCAGATCGTTATCAGTGAAAATTTCATAGATATCAACATTAGAAAATAATTAATGAAAATCAAAAGGTTGGTTTCAATTTAGTTTGTTGCATTTGATTGAACTATTTACATAATTACGTACTTAGCTTGTTATTTATTTTTTATATAATATATAAACTTATAAGTTTATCATAAATTAATAATTTATTGATGCTTATATTAAAATTTAGTGTATTAATTTAATTTATAACTTTACTTAAATAGAGTATTTTCTTAGGATATTATTTTATTTTCAAAAAATAATTTCAAATTAAGTTGAATAAATTTAAAATTTAACGAAAAAATTGTATGTTATCTAAGATGTATGATTCTATTATTTGGATTTGAATGAATAACTCACTAGCTATTTATTGTTTTTAATTATGACATTTTAATAAATTAATAATTATCGATACTTTTTTTATTTATGTATTAACGTATTATTTTACTCAGATAAAGTTTTTCATTTTATAAACAATAGATAGATAGATAGATAGATAGATAGATAATTTTAATTTTCTCAAAAATTAATTTCAAATTAAGTACAAAAAAATAAAAATTTAACAAAAAATTCAGATTTTATTTTAAGAAATTCTTTTCAGTTATTTGCTTTTGAAAGAATTAATAACTTATTTATTTATTATTTTTATAATTAAAAGCTCATAAAAATATAAATTTTTTGATTTATTTTAAAATTTAGTAAATTAATTTTTAATTTTATTTAAGGAAAGTAATTTCATTAATAAAATAAATACATTATTTGATTATATGCAAATATAATTTAAAATTATGTTGAATAAATTTAATAAGAAAAGACTATGCGATATTAGTCCTCTAATATTAAATGATATCGATAAATGCAAATAATATTTAATATTTTTTACAAATAATTTTTGAATAAAAGCATTTTAACATTTTTTTAATTAAATGTTTTAAAATAATATTAGAAATTATTTATTTAATTATAAAAATTAAAAAAATTTCTTATAAACATTTTTATAATGATAAAAAATTGATTCGCGCAATTTTTAATTTAAATATCAAATTGATTTGAAATTTTTGATATTAATTTATCTTGTAAACAAATCATAAAAGAGAAACTTAGAATAAATGAATGAGAATTTAGCTGTTTAGATTTGGTAAAAGAATAGGAAGGTATTAAGCTATGGAGAAATTAATCATTTACTTTAAATTTTACAGAAGCAAAAACCTTAATTTAAAAATGTTTCTTATATAGGTTAGGAACATAAATGGAACACAGGAGAGGAGTAAATATTATTTTAATGTATTAATTCTACTAAAAAAATTAAAATTTATTACAAATAAATAAATTAGCAGTGATGAACTTACCGCTAAGGGAGTAATTATTTTATTGAGAGTTTATGATGAAAATGAAAATATCAATAAGAGCTTGAAAGTTTATTTCATAGATCACTTCTAATGCAGCCTTTTTGTTTAAGAAATATTTCATCTTTTTCAAAGCGCTAAATCTTTAATCAGGAAAGACTTAATTTTATAAATATATGATGTTTATCATCTAAAATTCAATGATAAGTGTAATATTTATTTTATAATAGAATAGGAAGATGTTTAATCTAATTTATATGAGCTTAATTATATTTATAAGAAAAATGAAAAACAAATTAACGAAATTATGTAGGCTGCTATTAATTATTGCTAAGAATGTACTACAATCAAGTTAAAGCTATAGACTAAAAAGCTTAGCTTTCCTTAATAATTTTTGAAGTATTTTTATTTTTCAAACTTATAAAATGGAGAGTTAAATATAAAGTTGAATGTTTTAGCAAATGAAATTTTTATAAATCCTAATGAGGAATTATTGTATATTAATGATTCTTACAGCTCGTCTTCTGTAAGCTAATAATAACACAAAATAGAAGATATCAGTAATCAGCTTTCCAAACTATTAATTAATCTTAAAAAGCTAGAAGTAATCAAAAGTGAAGATTTAATCGAAACAATAAAATCTTATGAAGATTCTTTACTTAAACACCACGATTTATAGTTATTTGAAATAATTTGCTAACACCCAAAATATGACAACTTTGAACTCATAGAATATGATGAGGAATTTATCATTTTAGCTGCTAAAATTTAAGGATAGAGCTTTTATT